TTATTAATCTAGCTCATTTTCCACAGTATGTCAAGGGAGAAAGCAGATTAAATCTTATCAACTACCCTTGATGATTGCTGATGGATTTGTTTTTAAAGATATCTCTTCAGACATAAATGAGGAGAGAGATTAGAATTCTCGTGTAGTAGATATTACAGATTAAAGAAGGAGCTCTCAAACTTTGGTGTGCTTCAGAATCATCTGGAAGTCTGGTTAAAATGCAGATTGCTGGCCCCACAAGCAGAGGTCTGGGGTGGTGCCCAAGAATTTGCATTTCTCACATGTACCCAGGGGATGCTGGTGTTGATAGTATTGAGAACTACTAGAATAAAGGATGCTTATCCATACCCTGCTTTTCTTGAGAAATAAAATTTTAAGCTAATCTGTTATATCTACAAGGACACTGTCTTTTAAGAAAAGTTTTTACAGATCCTTAATCATATTCATGTACAGCTCTTCTGGCTAAACCAAATAGACGTGAATGAAAGCAAAGAGTTTAGCTGAGCATCTTTCTCTCTAAAGACAGGATAACTAGAACATACCTAGTTCTATCTTTTTTCCTATTCTTGGATCTCCGCTTTTCCTCCAAATACACTAGTCATACTTCTCTCCATCGAATTCAAACTCCCGACTCAATTCTCTCACTCCTCTGTGCCTAACTTGTCCTTTATATTTGCAGACATAGTGTGACATCATAGAAAGAAGTGGGTACAGGGACCTGAGCCACAACTTCTCCATCAAAACATAAAAATAATCTCTACGTCTCCCCACTCTTGCTGATGATTAAATGAAGTGGCATGTGTATAGCATCGAGCATAATGTTCACCACAGAGGAGGCACACAGTGGGAGAGAATCCTACTGCCTGCAAAACAAGTTTCTTTTCCATCCTTCTAGAACTCCCAGCCTCTACGTGTCATTATATTAATCTCCTTGTCAACTGCACTTTGTGACTCTCCTCAAATACCCTAGAGTGTACCAGGCAGAAAGCAAGAGAATAAAGATGCCAGGCAGGGCTTTCAGATTTTCAGAAACACACTGGGCATGGTTTGATGGCTGCTTGCAAGGAAGTAGGGGGCCAGAAATCAGAGCTATAGGACTCTGTGGGCATCTTAATCACCTCTGGCCACACAGCTTTAGCTACAGGTAACCACGCCATCTGATAGGACACAGAGAGCGACCACACATGCTGGATGGTAAGTTTTAGACCAGGGGCACAGTGCTGAAACTCACTCTTGTGTGTGCTATTGCCAGGTATACACAGGATATGGTTTCCATCAAGTCCATGCGTGAACCCAAAAGAACCAAACCTCTCATCCCAAAGTGGACTGGACTTTTATTTTATTATATCTTATATTTTTAATTCACCCTTTTAGACAATATCATAATTTATGGATTCAATATATCAGCCCAGCAAGTCTGAAGAGCACTATAGGAGCAGTTAGGGACATGTCATCTGGGTTCCAGCTCTAATAAACAATGTGACCGTGAACAAACTTCCTCACTTTCTTGTGTCTTTTGCCCCATCTGTAAGAAGGATGTAATGCCATCTAACTAATCTACTTTTCATTGTAATTATGATATATATCAAAGTGAGCTGAAAAGTCAAACAAAGGCAAATGTAATACTGGTAGTGAAGTTGAACTAACTACATTAGCTAGAATCGAGTCAATCGTCAGCTTTCATATATACCATATATCAAGGATGTGCTGTAATAGTCCCAGAACGCTTTCACTTAGCATTCATGAAGCTAGAAACGTACACTCCCCTGGTGATATAGCCCGTGACAAAACTCAGGTTTGCCACTTCTTCCACTTTGGAATAAATGTCTTTTCTGAGTACTTTTGCTGACTAGCAGACTTCTGTAAGAAGAATTTTACTTTTCAATTTATTTCTTTTATCAATAGGAGATTCTCACATGGAAGAAAGATGTTAAAAATAATAATAATTAAATCTCAAGTTTTTTTAGCAAGAATGACTAAGAAGGCAGGCTCTCCCGGGGTCCCCTGGGCACTGTCCACAAGTTGAGCACTTCAGCTCTTTCACAACTGGGGAGCCCTTCATGGAACCTTCCCACATAACGTTTGCCCTCCAGCTTGAGTCAGTCTACACTCCACCCCTCACAAACTCAGATAATAAGAATTCCTCCCCTGAAAAGTTTCCATAACACTATCCACAAAGCCCCTGGGAACTGCTCCTCGCCTGCCTGGCAGTGCCGGCTCCCTTCCAGAGCCGCCATATCGCACTTGACCAGTAGGTGCTGCTGTCTAAACATGGGTGATTTTCCTTCCAGCCTGAACACAAGTTCAGGGTTTCAAGCTTTGGGAGATAAAATCTGGGTTTCAAGTTTGATGAAGGCTTTTCTACGGTGGTTATCTAGGATTGATCAGTTCTGAAGGCTCTAATTTCTGTTCTTCAAGCTAACTTAAAACAAGGCAGCCTGAGAAGTACTCCTCTCCAATGGGCAACCTAAGAAGCAGGTTTTCACAGATGTTTCCTCTGTGCTGCAAACCTAAACAGCCCCCTAAATTCAATCACATTGATGCCGGAGGCAGGAAAAATACTGCAACAAAAGATGAAAGGAGAGCAAACTCAGCAAAGCTTATGGCTCCCCAAGAGCTATTTCGATGTAGAGATCTCTGTGAAAAGCTCATTAAGTCCTCAGTGTGTGGGGCAGGACTTAGGGAAAAGTCAAAATGAAGATAATAAGACACCATGTCCGCCCATACTGACATATTTGTAAAGCATTCAGAATATGCCAAAGAAATCCCACATCACTCCTCAGCACAGTAAGGGCCTGAATTAGCCCTTCTTGTGAAACCACGGTCCAAATGGACAGTTACAGACTCCGGAGATACAGTTCGTTTTGCTCTAATGTTGACTACAAATAAAACAATTAAAAAAGCAACTCAAAGCGTAGTCCCCACGATGGAAAGCCATTTAGGTCCTCTTCATGAGCAGAGAGTAGCCCCCATACACCGTGAATATCCAATACATTTGAATAAATAATAAAAGGCATTAGATGATAGATGTTTATGAGAAAAGCCACTAAGGTTCATTTTCCCAGTGCTTTTATTCACTGGAAAATATTCATAAGAAAAGGTTTATCCTCAGGCTTCAGCCAGAACCTGAATGCGAATGAGACCTTGTATTAGAGTTCTCCAGAGAAACAGAACCAGTAGGATGTGCATGCGTGTGGAGAGAGAGGGAAAGTTTAAGAACTGGCTGATGAAATTGCAGAGTTAGCAGAGTAGGCCCAAGGCTGGAGACCCAGGGAAGAGGCGATGTTGCAACTTGAGTGGGAAGGCAGTCTGGGGGCAGAATTCCCTCTTCCTGAGTAGGGGTCAGCCTTTTCCTGTTAAGGCCTTCAATTGGATGAGGCCCACCCTAATGACCTCCTTTTAACTTAATTACCTATTTAAGGACCCTGTCTCCAAATACAGTCCGGTTCCAGGATACCGGGGCTTAGGACAGCAACATGTGAATTGGGGGCAACACAATTCAGCCCACAACAGGCCTGAAAGGGTATTATGATGATCTAGGGATTAAAAAGAGAGAGAGAGATGGAGAGAGGTTGGTAAAAACATGTGTTTCTTGGAGCAGTGTCTCCTAAAGTGTGGTCCCAGGCCCAGCAGCATCAACAACACCTGGGAAGCTGTTAGAAATGCAAATTCTCAGACCCACCCCAGATCTACTGTATCTGTGAGGCTCAGCAATTTGTTTTCAACAGGCCTTCCAGGTGATTCCAGTGAGAAAGTTTGAGAACATGTATCTTAGTAGTTGCTTGATTACTAGAACATTCCACCTAAGAGGTTTTCCAACAAATGTGGGTGTAAATATTATTTAATCTGTGAGTTTTCTTTAAATATATTAAGCTGAGTCCTATTTCATAAATGGGCCTTGGAATTCATTTTACTCTTATAAATTGGAAATGAAGCCAGAGCTCCAAGGATATCAACATGATAACAACACTGCAAAGAACTTGGCTTCCGAATACAGATTTCACAGGGTGAAAAGAAAACTTCTGGGTGCCCAATAAAACTAATTTATCAAATTCCAGTGCAGTCTAATTGCTGTCTGTCTGGTTGGAGGCCTCAATTATCTTATGCAATTTCCATGAATGGCAGACAAAATTATAATGGTTGAACTTAGTAAAATTCATTCTACCTTCCTTCTTAAAAATGAAAAACTAGTAGAACTGTTAAGTGGACACTTTTGAGCAAGAATCAAATTTATTCTATGCTACAGTTGGCTCCAAAACACCTTCTGCACACTCACAACATTGGCCTTTGCAAATACACTGGCCAGTCGACCTCTGGCCATGCCTCTCCCTGTGCCTTTGAGAATTTACACTACGGCATCGGGAGGGAAAAGATTGAATTCACCCGGGAGGTATTTCCAAGTCTCAGTGGATGGTCAGATCTGCAAACAAGGATGCATGTAACCAACTTATCTGGAGAAGACAGCTTCATCTGAGGCACATATGCTACGTGGTGATCAGGCACATGCCACTGAAGGTAGAGCTTACGTCAAGGAAGCTTTCCTGTCTTGCCTAGCACAGTTCTCGTAATATAAGATGCCACATCACCTTGCATAATACAACCAGATTCAACACATAATTATTTATGTAATTTGTATGGCAAGAATTTCCCAGGTCTTCAGGAAAAAAGATTATTTGTGGAGCCTAATTTTTTTATATTGGCTATCGAGAAAAAGATTGTCAAGTGGCCTTTTTGATTGAACTTCGATCTAGATGTACCCTCTTTGTGACAGTCTGTCAGCTTAATGTATTTGGGCAGGACCCATGTGAGCAAGCTTCAGAACTACGTGCAAACTGAAGTACAGAACTGTGTCCAGATGGAATAGAGAACATTTCACACTGAGCAATTATACCAGCAGGTCAGTGATTGAGGAGCTGATGTTTGTCTGGTGCCACAAGAATAAGGGCAGTCCCACGGCTGGAAGCTAGTGTTCTAGACAAACACTCGGGTAATCTGTATTCTTTTTTTGCTCTTCCGTGACTCACTCTTGTCTCTGGGTTTAGCACTAGCAGTGCCCCGGAGTGATTTGTTACCTGCGGCTAATCATACTGTGTGGGCCTCTCCTGTTAATAAGAAGTCAAGTCAAGTTAAATTTAGCATCAGGAACTGTCTTGAAAGGAAAATAGATCCATAAGAGTAGCCTTGTATGGTTTTGAGAAGAAAAGAGGCCATCTCACAAATATGGTAAGGACCTTGGGGATAAGAGAGCTGGGGTACTGTCACCTGTCGTGAGTCTTCAGCACCAGGCGATGGTAACACCGCCTCTCTGTCCCACTTCCCCTCCCACAAGCCAGGTACCTAGCAGTCCCCTAAAATTACTTTCTAATGATGAATTGGGAAGCCATGAGAGCAAAGAAAAGCTTGAATCCTGGAATAATTGTCCTCATGATGTACCATTGGGATGGCTCTGATTGTCACATTCTCAGAAATACAAATACTAAGTTCTGAGAAGATCCAGAATCTTCTTTGTGTACCACCACCATCCCAATTCTTAACCTCACTACACACAGTCTGAGATTTGGAGGTACATCAAAGCTCCTTCGATGTCCCCTCTTGAAATCAGGAGAGGATCAGAATTCCTGGTCCTTCAACTTTCTTGTACGTGGCCCATGCGGAGGTGTTAGTTTCTGAGTGGAGGTGTTTGTCCTTCATCCGGTATACTCAGACTAGAAGCACACTCCTGTCTTCTTTTCCTGCATCTTTGACCACATCTCCACCTCACAGCTCCCTCCTCCAACAAACAATAGTCTTCACTACCTTACTCCTGTTTATACTGCCTTCTAACATGGGCCACTGCCAAAAGATGTTGCTGCTAGAACAGGTAGAATGGGAAAGCTCGAGTGCATAGGGAATGTTCCTGACTGTCACCTGGAATCAGTTTGGCCTGGGTATTACACTTGAACGTAAAGTGAATGTATGTAAAGGCAGCATTGGGTGAGCCACTCTGAACAGGAGATGGCAGTAGCGGCCAAGGTATTTGAGCACCTTTTTTCCATTCCTTCTAACAAGGGCATTTCCGGTCTGTTGATTGTTATTTCTGTGTACAGTTTTGCCTCACCAAAGCCAAGGTGGCTAAAGAATGTGCCCGAGGTCCCAGACCTTGCAGAGTCTCACAACTATTGGAGAACTAAAAATTGCTCAAAGTGAAGACTGAACAACCAAGATAGGGAAGAAGGTGGGGGGCTGTCCTAAGTCTCACAGCAAAGGAAAGGAGGAGCCCTCCAAAAGCAGATATTCCTACTTAGACTGGTGTTAGTGGGTGTTTTGGAGAGAGCAAGGAGGTGAGATCCAGTGCACATTCTTACTGAGACTTTGAGCAAGTTCTTTAGCCGAGGTGATTCAGCCCTTGCCCTCATGTATATGAAGGGCGTAAGGAAGTCTCTCTCACAAACTTCACAAAGGTGTAAATTAGGGAGTAGCCTGGAAAACTCACCTTGTATATACGACTTGCTATAACATACAAGGAAGGCATTTTTGTTGGTTGTCCCTGCACCTCCAAATATCCTAGAGCACTTGTTTTTCTTTTATCTTTTTTTTTTTTGTCCAGGTATTATGCCCAGAAACATTTTGACCACGCGTCCATTATTTCTCTGATAATTATAATTTCCCGAGAGTTATAGCACACAAATTACTTTGTAATAGCTCTAAATTCTTTGCTTCATCCTGAGTCTACGATTAAACTCTCACCCAGGCTCCTGTCATCTGTTGCCTTGATTTATGAAACCTCTCTTCTCTGATCTCCTCATTTCTTACCTCTGCTTCCTTTAAAACTTACGAAATGTGGCTGCAAGGTCAAATTTCTCATCATTGCAGCGTTACCTTCTCAGGTGTAATCATTACTGTCTTAATAAAGCAGGCAGGGAGTTCCACAATAGTCTGTTTAACCCACTGGATAATTGCTCAGCCTTCGCTACACAACCCCTTTCCCGTCTCTTCCTAGGATTCCAGAGCCACTGTGTTGTGGTTTGAAATGTCTATTAATTTGGCACAGGTATTAATTAAAAATTTATTTCTCATCAAGTATGTGATGAATCAAGTGCTGCATATAAATAAATAAAATATAACTAATCTTAACCAATTTCACTTGGAGTCAAAACAATATACCCGGAAAGTTTTATGGTAACTTTCAAACATTTTCAGACTCTTTGCAAAAGTTGGAAAAAATAACTAAAATTTAAAGTATTGTAGAATCAGTTTGGTATTATGGTAGAAGATTTATGAGGCATGCAACTACGCAAAATTTTTTATGTAGTTCATAAGGCAAAGTTATACTATTTCACTTTGCTCCACTTGTGACCCAGAGTTAATTATATCCGTAGTAAAATTTGACCTAACGAGGCTCTGGTACCTGAATGGCCAAGAGGTATAGAAATTTCCAGCACAGCTTTATTAGGGAATGGGATATAATAAGACCATAATCTAAAGCCAGTCTTAAGTTTTATTATTTATTTTGCCTGCCTTGATCATTTTTCTGCACTCATTTGGCTTGAAGGCACAGACATTCCCTGTTGATTATCTCGACTTGGCAGTGGGTTTCTGCTACACATTTTAATTCCTAATATGGTAGCAGAAGAGGATTTTGTATGAGTTCCAGCGAGTTTCTCTGGGCCTGTGGAATGCAGTGAGGGAAGAATCCTACAGAGATGAAAACATGCACATTTGCATTGATAAAGAGAAAAATAAAATATAGAAAAAAGGGGATGTCTCTCTCTCAATCTTTTTTTTCCTTTTTTCACTCTGGCCACTTTCATTTCTAATAATGTCTTATAGTTGGGGGGATGGAAAGAATTAATGTTGTGTTCTTTAATTGCTTATATTTTTATGATCATTTCAAGAATCATTTGAAAGCCCTGTTTTTCTAGAACAAGGCTAACAAAATAAACATTTCATCATTATCATGGTTTTAAGTCCTTGAAGCATCCACTCGCTCTACCCTGTAAATTAGCCATATGATGATGAAAACTGAGCAAATGACTTCATGCTCCTAAAGGAGAGCAAAGATCATGCTGTCTTAGAGTATATTTAGGTATTACACCGTTCCTCAATTTTTGTAGCAATATGAAATAATGCTAAAGAATCCATATTTTGATTTTTTCAGAGTTCAATACAATTTTTCTCTCAAAGTCATATTAGTTCACAGAAATATTCATTTGGTAAAATTTTTTAAATGATGCATCCCAGATAACAAACTTTCCTTTAGTAACAGGCTCATTCTCCCTAAATGTATTTACTAAAGGCCTCTGTGCTTTAATAAGCCATATTTGCTCTCATGTAAAAATGTCATGATTTTCATCATTAACATCCAATCAATGTTTAACTTTTATATAATTAAGAGTCACACTTGGCCGATATTGCCCCCAAATTGGCCATATCAACATTTGAGGTCAAGTCAATATAGGCTTCTCTGCTGCATCCAAAAAAAAAATCACTAACGAGAGAGTCTTCTAGAAATCCAAGAAATTCAACATACTGGTATAGATACGTATGAAAGTATGGTTTTTATGATGAGCCAAATATTTTCTTTTTCTGGACAGCTAATTCTAAAAACTCTTTCGGTAAAGGGTTGTGATCAGTTAGCAACAACTGCAAACACAATTAGTCAGTATATTAGTTAGGCCCAAGAGTGGCTGCAAATAACGGAAACACCCAAAATATCAGTGGTTTAAATGAAGTAGAAATTGATGTTTCTAGAATATGAAATAATGTGAGGGGAAGCAATCCAAAGCTGACATGGAGTCTCCATCTATTACAAGGAGCCTAGACTGCTATCTTTCTCTTCTGCTGCCCTCCGCATGTGGCTTCCATGTCGTGGACCTGTGCAGCAGACAGGGCGCCAGTCAATACATCCACGTGAGAAGGAAAAAGGGGAAAAAGAAGGGTGAATAGAGGCCCTTTAGTGAAAGTTTCTAAAGTCCCCACAGTACTTCTACTTCCATCTCAATGGTCAGAAGCTAGTTTTAACCACCTTACCTACAAAGGAAACTGGGAAATGTGGTCTTTGATTCTGGGTGGCAGTGTGAGCAGCTAAAAACTGGGGTGCTAAAACTAAAGGAAGATGCGAATTGGGTCGAGGTGTAGGCAACACCCAGTCTCCATCACAGTCAGACTCACAGGCTCCTTGACCTGCTGTCATTGCTCTTAGCTTCCACATGCATATTCATATTTATTTAGTTAAATTAGAAGTAGCTTTGTTTGTCTCACTAATGTAGATATAAATAAATTATAAAAAATTTGAAAATGCAGACAATTAGAAAGAAATTCATAAACAACCTTAAAATTCACCTCCCAGAAATCAGTGAGGTTGATTTTGTGGTACATAGTTCCAGGTCTATTTTTATGCACACGTGTATCTGGATACTTTCCTTAACAAAATTGGAATATACAAAGCATACTAATTTTTAACCTGCTTTTTTAACAACATAATATTGTGAACATCTTTCTGCATCAATATTTTAAACATTGTTTTAAATGGCTATAGATCATCCCATGATACGATCATTCCAGAATTTATTTAACCAATGTCCCATTGTTGAACACTTTAGTCATTTCAAGTTTTTCTGTACTATAAACCACACTACAATAATATCTTTGTCACTAAACATTTGCTCAAATCCTCAATTAGCTTCCGGAGAAGGTAGGTCTTCTGATCAAAGAACATGCACATCTTAAGGCTTTGTATGCCAAAGTCCTCTCCAGAAAGACTGTTAACACTTTAGATTGTTATCCTCCCCTCTGAGTACGTGACTGCACCCTTTGACCAACAATGAGCATTATATAATTTTTTTAAGCCTTTGCCAATTTGATAGAAGAAAATGTAGGTCTCATTTTTATTTATATTTCTTTGATTACTATTGAAGTTGAACATTTCCCCTCACCTTATATTTAAACTTCTTTATTATTGTGAAAAGATATAATTATATTTAATCTTCTTTATTATTGTGAAAAGATGTAACAGGAGACAAAGAGGGTCATGGTCTCAAATTTGGAAATATTAACTTCAGGCCGAAAGGAGCAAGTTCCTGGCTGTTAAGATGTCATGCATGTGTACAACTGAAATTTCACCATGTTATAAACTATTTAGACCACAATAAAAAAAAAAATTTTAATGAAAAAAAATAGATGTCACCCATGCTGACTCATAAACGGCCACATAAAAGGAGAGGTTATTCTTTCATTTCAAGGGGCACTCAATGAAGATGCCACTTGACCATTTCAAGGAAGGCACCCCAATTTGTTCCTCCATTGTTTAAGAAAGAAGCCACCCCAATCTTGACTCACGTTTTGCTGAGCTTGAAGAGCAATGCTTTGTCTGTGATTTATGGGCTTCCTCTCAGCCCCTTGTTCCCTTGAGTTGACTGTCAAGCCCTTGTCAAGCAGAGTGGCAAGTCAAAATATTCAGAGGGGCTTAAATTTAATTCGGGTAGTCAGTGAACCACAAGATCTATCTGCTCAACTACTTTCATACCAAATAGGATATCTTCCCATCTAAATTTGTAACTGAACTGAAAACAACTTTGTGCTTTTAACTATCTGATGATGTGTCACATTTCACCGTATCTGAAGCCCAGGAGATGTACAGTAAGTAGCCAGATCACAACATGCCAGTCCAACTTCTGTTTTTGTCATTTCCTGATGATTGCTAAGTAGAGAACTTCAAATACCTTAGGCATATGCTATCTGTGAATGGGATTGATACATTTTCTTACTTGTGTGTTATATAAATTCCTCTGGAGTAGTTTATTCTCTGCAACTTTTTAATTATTTCTTTGTGCCCAAAAGCCAATTTGTAAATCAAGAGTTAATATAAGGCATAGTTTGAACAGCATAGGATAATTCTCAATTAGACCATAAGGACAAAACTTCAATAACTGTATGCTTAAATACTAAGATGCGACCAAAAATAGGAGGAATAAAAATAAATTTCATCCTCTACCAGAAAAAACAAAAATTAAACACTGAGCCACAACTATCTCTTTTTCTCTGTAAGCCTAACAAGTCTTTTCGTATATAGGGAAGGCAAATATGCATTTGTGTTTACAATTTAGGCTGGGCCTTGTACAGTGACTCCCATGGAGCACATCTCAATGAAAATTTAGTGGACAATAACACCGTACACAACAAACCCATAGGATTGTAAGATACCATCGGGGTTTGCCCTTCTCATAACTGTCTTGCTGGAGTCTTTTTTTCTCCCTTTATGGGAGAAGCTATCTAGAGTCAAGCATCATTAAGTCAAAATGCAAAGGAAGGAGAAAATGGATATGGGTTAATTGCATTCCGGATGCCACTGAACCAGTTGGTACAAATTATTATTGCGGTATAAGAATGCATTGTGCATTCCAGGAAGACAAGTAATTTGGTGAAGTTGGAGTATGGGCGTGTACCAGGAAGTGGCAGCAGATGAGGATTCTGAGTGTGTGTGTTGGCGGTGTGAGGATGCATATAGATCCTCATACTTCATGCCAAGAAGTTGGGACTTTGTCTGAAAGCAAGAATCTCCTGGGAGAGTTGCAGTTCCTGTCCAGGAATGTCCCATTATATGCAATTTGGCTCATTCTGCATGATCTTCTCCCCATTACTGCACAAAGAAGCCTGTGCCTGCAATCTTGGCAGACAAGTAAAACCCTCATTCTTTATCAGCAGATTTGCAGGGTAACAAAGAGAACACTCTGGTGGGAACAGCTGTAATTGAGCTGAAGACTTCTTCCTGCCATCCATTGCCTGGAAATAAAAGGAATACAGTCAATATTAAAAAAGGGCAGATGGGCACAAACTCTAAAGCAATGAGTTTTTTATAATAGGACTAAAAAGAAGGCAGAACCCAAGAGGGCTACAAGAATCATCAAAGGCTTCTCAGAGGAGGTGATGTTTCCTACCCCCACCAGACTTAAGGCACAGCTTTCAGGGCCCTGAAGAATTAAGGAACAGGAGAACTCCACGGATCCATTTCTGCAGTAGGGCCACAGCGATCGGCAAAATAGACCACCACAGCACACATGGGACCTATATTTTTGGAAGGGTGTTGTTAGGGTGTCTGGCCCCAAAGGACTTGGACAATTGCCCCTTTTCAATGCCTTTATATACTCTCTACTTTATTTACTTGTTTATGTAGAATTGTTTGTTTAAAATTCATTTTTTAATTATGAAAGTAATCCGTGTTCTCAACAAACCAGTAAAAACAGACCAGAAGTATAAAGTCTCTCCACCCCCATACCCAACTCTTCCATCCAGAGGTAACCACTGCTAAACTGATCCAGGTGTAGACTTCCAGAAATATTTCCATGCATGTATGGGCAGAGATTCTGTGTTATGTACAAATACTATCATACAATTTTACTTTTTTAATGTAACCATGCTGTAGTGATAACTATAATGTTGATATGGGAGGAACTCAACAAGGGGAATCTAGTTGGAAAGAGGGTCTTGAAGCTCTGTTGTAATATATTTTATATAACATAGAACATCAATTGTCTATATCAAGGAAAGGAGGATGCTGGGAAGTAGGAAAAACTAAGCCCCACCAAGCAATTCCTTGGCTTTACCACTTTGGCATCTTTGCATAAGAACATATAAGTAGTTGCCCAACATTGCATTGTGTGAATGGACTATAATTTTTTAATTGTTCCCCAGTAGTAGATATATAGGTTTATCTAGGGCTTTTGCCTCTATAAACAATACTATTTTGAATCTCTTTGTACATAGATCTTGGTATATTTAGGCAAGGGAATCTATAGCATAAATTCTTCCAAGTAGAATTGCTGAGTGGAGGTAATGTGCATTTCAAATGTGAATAGATGTTGCCAAATTGCTCTCCCAAGACGTTGTTCCAGTTTACAGTCAATAGGAGGCAGCATCTTTATTTTTTAAGATTTCCTCTTAGAAAGTGCCAAGCTATGCTGCCACAGAATTTGTTCTGCCAACCAATCCATCTGCACCTAGCCTCCCAGCCAGGCATGCGAGTTCAGCTTTCCCTGAGCTGGGGATGCCTCAAAGCAGTTTGCGTTAGCAGCGCAGCTAAACTCTAGAGTGGCATCACCCCATCTACATTGAGAATGATTTTTGTTTTAACTTTCTGGAGTACAAATTACTATTAGAGAGCTTCCATTCCGAACCCAGAGAAAATTCTATTGCAAAAGCAAACTATTTAAAGAGAAAAGGAGCCATGAAGGCCAAGTCTGAGCTGCTGTTGTCATCAGGCAGGCGGCAGAAAGAAACCAGGCAGAGAGACAATTTCAGGAAATTGAATAAGGAGCTGCATGACAGTCACGTGACCACTTTGGTCTCATGAAAGAAAAGGTACAGTAGAGATTTGCCTGAAAGGCCCTGAGGAGCAGCAAGACCTAATGGCAAAGACAAAAGTTCATCTCCTTTGCTGCTTTCATCACATGTTCAGACGCTTCTCAGAAATATACAGCTTCATCCCCATTACCATTTTGATGTTTAGATATATCAATCCTCTTCTAAATAGAGTTTTGAGTTTATATTCATGCTTTTGTGGTAAAATATCAGATGATCGCTATATTTTCAAAGATAGAGAAATGACAGCATTGGTAATTCAATTTCAGGTTTTGTCAAGTATCTTTTAAAATGCAGTTAATAATATACTAAGCTTTCTCATACATAATTTATGTTATTGATTAAAATCTAAAAATGGAAGGAAAAAGACTGAATCCAATTTGTTTTTGCTGCAAGAATGAGTAAAAAATAATCAGCCATGTTAATATTTCAAACAGCAAACTATTGGAAATTTATGTCTACTCTTAAATAAAAAATGAGGATTAATAAATTCTATTATACATGTGCTATTGATGAAGAAAGGAGGTAGAAAAGGTACGATATGCTCTAGAAAATGATTACACCTTCAATGAAATACAAAGAACAGCTCCTTTGTTGGTCAGTAAGAAAACCATGTTTGAAACTCCTTGTTGTCATAAATGGCAAAAATACAACAATAATCCTAATATGTACACATATGTGTGTGTGTGTGTGTGTACGTATTTTTTCTGGTCTTCAAATTTCCTACGCTATTATACAATAGCAATTATGATATTTTTAACTCAATCTGCATCGTAAAACATGTATCAATTGTCAGTCAGCAAAAGTGTCTGTTTAGTACAATTTGAAGCAGCACTAAGACAATGGAAAGAGGAACATTTTCATTCAGTCTTTCCTGCTTCTACAGTTTGTCGTGAGTACCAGTGTTTTCCTGGTAACATGCTTTCTTAAATTTTACTTTTATTTAATTTGACACACAATGTATTTCTAAAGGATTTTCAAGGAAACGTGAACAGTCATGTGGTAATAAGTCCCGCTGCTCGGACCTCCTGAATAATGCCCCATCTCCACCTCTGTCTCCTTTCCCGGGGCTGGTCTGGGCTTGTCCTCACCTCTTCTCCAGTGATGGAAACAGCCTCCCAAAGCCAGGGCCCCTGACCTTCCTTCCATCCTCCACACTACCGCCAATGGCATCTTCCTAAAGCAAAAATCTCGCTATGCCAGTCTCCTGTTTAAAATCTTTAATTGGCTTTAATTAGCTTCTCACTGACTTTATGATGAAATCCAGATTCCTTAGAATGCTCCAGAAGCCCCTTCCTGACAGGGCCCAGACCTGCCTCTCCAAATGGCATCACTTGTTCCTCATTTACCCTATGCTCAAGCCATGTAATACTACACCATTTTGTACATGGAACCTTTTGTGAGTATTGTTACTCTACTTAATCGGTCATCCTCTGGCCATGAATCTGAGGAATTCCTAATTCAGCCTCTAAAATGGTACTTCTCAGGACTTCACGTCCATTTGAATCTCCTGGGGATCTTGTTAAACTGAAGATTCTGCTTCTGTAGGTCTAGGCTGGGGCCTGAGGTTCTGTACTTCTAGCGAGTTCCCAGGTAATGCTGAGGCTGCTCAAAACACACATTGACAGCAAGACTCTAAAACATTATCTGTCATCCCTCCCTCAGTGAAAACTCTTCCCGTACAAAGCTGCTCTACACAAAGCTTCCTCTTCCCCAATTTTATAACTTGCCTAAAGAATGTCCTCTTAAATGTCTCACACTCTGTTCTCATAACTTGGTGACATCTCTGCCCCTCTAACCACTTGTGGATCATCTAAGGGGTCCAGTAGTGACTGCTACTTCCTTGTATTCCCAACACTAATGTGGGGACCCAAATTTATAGACATTTCATAAAAGTATTTTGAACAGAAATTAGCAAAGCTTTTTAAAGTGGTATGTCAGTGACCATCTGACAAGAACTTGTTAAAGATGTCTTTGCTGGACTGGACAGTTAAACTAAATTCTTAGCTCTCAAATTCATGTTGGATTTTTTTTTGTGTTACTACTATTATCTCCAGTGGAGTGGGGAAGGCGAGGCCTAGAACTGTCTGATTTCTATTCTGTTAACCAGTATGGAAGTCTGGAGGCAAGCTAAGAGTTTGAAGAGCCCAGATCTGCTAGACAGGACAACAAATTGATTATCTTTGTGTCCTTGTGGGTGACTTCACCACCACCCCCCAACTCCCTTACCTCTGCTGCGAAGCACAGCCCGGCCTGTCTCCAAACACTTGGCCTTGCACAAAAGACCCGAAGGGAAGCCACGGCCCAGTGAACCATCTCCAGCAGAGCATCTAGGCAAGAAGTGGCACATCAAGATGTTTGCAGCTGTGAGAAAAGAGAGAATTAGTGGAAACAAACAACATCTGCCCAGGGTTTCTTCCATTCTGTCACAAACATGACAGGAGAGGCCAGCAGGAACCATCCCAATCATGGTAACCAATGGCCCTGAAAGTCAGTCAGTGGTGTATCAGGGCTGCAAAGATAACAATTGCAGCACAGTGGTTCTCAAGGTACATTAAAATCCTCTGGAAAGTGATATTTATAAAATATGAAAAACCTGGGACCCCATCAGAGACCAACCAATACAGAGTCTCGGCGTGGGGGGCGGGGTGGGGATGGGTGCAAGAGTCGGTAGTTTTTAAAACTCTCCAGGTGATCATAATGTGAAACCAAAGTTGACTACTGATGGAGGGTATCACCTCATTGGATGCTTGAAGTCCCCTATAGGTGCCTCAAAAGTGAATGTCTAGCCTCAGTTTAAGCACCCAACTGACTGCCTCTGAGTCTTACCCATTATAGGCCGAAAGAAACCAATTCAGGACATTTACCTTTTTCCTCATGCAGCATGCTCTAATGAGTCTATAACGGAGAATTTCTTTATTCGCACCCACATCTCCCGTCCCACAGTTTCCCTTAAGAAATTGGTAAGTTGAGAGAGAATGTGAGCCATAGAAAGAAGGAAGCTGAATTCATTTGGAAAAGAAAATCCTAAATCAACTTAATTCCCTTTCTTCTTAGTCTTAATAATCTACCTTGCTTTCATTCCCCTTCCACCTGCACCCGCTGTCCACGAATCCATCAGTCACAGTGGTGAGCTCTCGGCAGGAGGTCAGGTGGGGTCACATTGCAGAAGGTACAGTGCAGAAGTGTCAGGATAATGGGATTCGGTTACACTTACAAGAAAAGACTCCTCCAGGATTGGCTATCACACTGCCAAAGCGAAAGGGCACCTGCTCAATACATGGCAGGAACTTCATAAATTTCAGATGCATCTGAATCAGAACTCCTCAATTTTTTTAAATGAAATCGTTCAGGCCTTATAATAATAAGTATAACATAATGAATACTCATGTACCCAGTACGCAAAAGAAATAAACCATAATATATATAATCAAAATGCCCTATGTCCGCTTCCTATCCCTTTTCTCAGAAGTAACTGTTGTCTTAAACTAGATGTTTGTAATTCTCAGGCTTATGTTCATGTTTTATATTCATCAGTCCTGTGCATGTTTTTGTTATATACACACACAGCTTTGTTTTTGCTTGTTTTCAGTTATGTAAATGGTATTATACTCTATTTTATGTGTTTTCAAACTTTATGTAAACAGTATCACATTAGGTATCCTCATGTAACATGTCTCTCCATGTTATATTCCTGAGATGTTTCCCTGTTGATTAATGTAAGCTTGTTAGTTTTAATTGCTGTATGGCATCCCAAGGTAGGAATAGACCCCAGTGGATGTTTACATTTTTCTGTTGGTGGAAATTTGGGTTGATTCCAATTTCTTGCTGTCACAAACAGTGCAACAAGGAGCGCTCCTATACATGTCTCTGGATACAAATGTAGAATACCTCTAGGATACTTACCTAGGAGTGAGATTGCTGGGAGGTAGGGAATGCATGCCTTCAGCTTTTCTAGATATTACAAAATAACACCCCAACCAGAAGAATAGGAATGTTCCTACTGCTGGCATCCTTGTCAACGCTGATCTTGTTAACTTTAAATGTTTAGTAATTTTAACTGGTGTATTTTTCCCTAAAAATCCTGCAGAGGGCAGCATATCCTGGTGATTACTGCTCCTTAAGGTGCATTCCACTTTATGGGTCCCTTCCTTCTTTACTCCTTGAAATCCTTTGACCTCCTCTAAGTCAGTTACCCCTCAACCCACTCTCTTACTTCAAGCAGCTCCCTGGCGGTACCTTACAAGGGCAGACAAATATAACACTATCTGAAAGCTAACGGCTCCCTCCCACTTTTCACTCCACATTCTTGGCACATTTCTGTCTTCTGACAGGATGGGAAGCAAATAGAGACAAGTCAACCTTGAATTAAAATACTTTTTCTAGTTCAAAGTAGCATAAGAGAAGATGTGAGCAGACAGCAAAGTCTTCCACCTTTCTGAAGCAGAGCTGTGTAACCTGATTAGAAGCCATCGCCCTGTCAGAAACTGCAGATGTAAATTGGAGAAATACTGAGAAGTAGGGAAAGGTATTGCAAAGCAGTGGTGGTTTTGTTTTTCTTCTGGAATAGAAGATATTTACTCCTTTGCCTTCTTAGTTACATTGTTCCTGCTTCTCTAAGGAAGAAAAACAGTGTTAAGTTTCAATATCCTCCTCAAATTTCTCTCATCTTGTACTGAGCTGAAGTCCTGCCATGTCCAGAGTTCCGTGGTGGGAATGCAGCCTTCAAACATGCATTCCTTTCAACAAAGCAGATGTGAAATTGAGCTGCGCTTAAAGATTTAAAATGGCTGCATCAAGTAGGAGTTTATTGTTAGTACTTTCAAAGTGGTCCTACAACCACCACTCTGCGAGGAGTACATTTTCCTTCCTGAAACTGGATTTTAAGATGTCAGTACTTTAAAATGAATGAATGAATAATAAAATTTTATTGCTGTCCTTGAGGGGCAAAGTAAACAAATAAATTTGATTCGCTTTTGGATTGATTACTGTTTTGAGTTATTAAATCTTTTCCCCCTCCATTATCGTAGATTGAACTTTCTCCAGATGGAATCTGTCAGTCTTTCAGCAAGATGTTAATAGGTGTTCTGGGGAGTAAAATTCATTTCAATGAAAGTGTTGGGTTAAAGAATGTTTTTAAAAAGAAAACTAGATTTCTCTAATGCAAAAGGTCTTAGAGACATTTATATGCTGATGTGTATTATAAATCTCTAAGGCAAGAATTTTAGAGATTCTGTGTTTCTAAGTGGCTTGACCATAGTTCCCTTTTTCATAGAACACTTGACAGGTTTAGAGTTCAAAGACACACTTTGGAAAATGCTAGTATAGATATTCTAAGGCTGGCTACACCATCATCCATGATCGTTAAGACCAGAAATTCACGAGACTCAATTATATGTCATCCCTGACTAATAGAATGCCTGTTTTGACATGTTGGTTGGTATACTCATTGCTCTTGTGTTGAATGTTATTGTGGAGATATTTGAGGCCAGCCTAATTTTTGCTTCCTTGTCTGTGACTTGTTTTTTTCTGCTTCAATGCCTGAGGAATGTCTGTATTCTTGAATTTCAATTATCCAATCACGGGTATGTCTGTAGTGTTGAGCATTCTGTTACCAATATTTCCTAAAACATGGTATACTCTTTCAATCTGTAGATGAGGTTATTCTTTGTCTTTGTGAAATTTCCTTGTATAGTGTTTGTGAATACTTTTCCTGTTCCGTTTCTTGGAAGGGATATCAATTTTGCTATGTTAAGTGCTTTGGAACTCCAATCTATTGTCTTCTAATTCCTTTGTTCTTGTATTTACAAGCCTTTCTTCTAGCTCAGTAGTTTTATTTGCAGCCATGTTTATTTGTTCTTTGCTATGTCACTTTTATTTCATTGTTCTATAAGTTGTTTTTGTCCTCAACCTCCTTAATTCTGTGACCTTCTTGTTCTATCATCTCATTCTTGAGCTCATATTTTCCTGAGTTAATGTTCTCATTAACTTGATTCATAGTACAAAGTACTTCTAAGGAATTTTGTTTTGTCCTTTGGATTATTTTTTCTGTAAGAGTGGGGGTTTTATCATTCTTTTGCAGGCTACGTTCCTTTTTTTTAAGGGTCACTTGGTTTTGTTTGTTTTTATTTGGGAGTGTTGCTGTGGCATGTTTGGATATTTGTCACTGTTTTTCTCCCTCCATCTTGTTCATCCTTGAATAGCTCCATCCAGATCTTCTCTTTGTTCTGGTGTGCTAGAGATGACTTCTCCTTGACTCCATTTCCATTGACTCTAACTAGTTTACCCTCTGAGCTACAGTTTGAGAACTTGGTATTGAATACCACCTACTTTAATGTGGATTGTTGGAGGGGACAGAGAGAGTAGGGGAAAGCTCTGTGGAAGCTGTGTGACTTCAGTGTGAAATTAGAACTCCTGGGCTCTGCTCTGTCCTCTGGGATTTGAGAGGTGTTTTGAACTAAGCTTTAACCCCTCCCTTCAATCAGGACTCATATCCACCCTGAGGGGAACACTCTGGGATTTTTTTTCTAATCATTCAACAAAACTTATTGAGTATCTATTCTCTGCTAGGCACTATTCTAATCAAGGCACTGGGAATATAGCTGTGTGAACAAATAAGACAAAAATCCCCTCTCTCATGAGTTTTTATCCACTGTGGTATCTTTACTGATACAATGTGGTATCAGAAAGAAGCAGCCCATTTCTGCCTAGTAAATGGGCTCAGGCAAAAGAGGGAGAAAAATAAGTGTAGTCATTAAGTGCAATTCCCTCTAGATTGGAGGGCAATAGTGAAGTTTTAAGATTCATCAGTTCACCAATAAAGCTTCACAGGGGCAGGGAGCTGCACTGTGTCACTCCACAGTCTTTTTCTTTTTTGGCCAGGATTTTGCATGCGTGTGTGCACGTTTTGTTTTGTTTTGGCATCCATATTAGTAAGTCGTGCTCTTTGCCTTATTTGGTGGCTGGTTTACTGTTGGGGAAGAGGGAGCTAGTGTTTCTTATTGTTCGCATTCACTTTTTTAGTTGTGTGTGCGAGAGAGGGGAAGATTCTGTGGTTTTCACTCCATCACCTTCAGCCTGGAGGCCTCAACGAGTTCTTTTAACTCTAATCAAACATCCTACCTATGGTCTACAGGTATAAGATTGACATGAAATAGATCCTTCCTTGGAATTATTCAAGTGCTTTAAGACACAGATGAAAAAACATACAGCTGAAGTGGTTTGGTTGGTTGCATGCCAGCTTTTCTTGGCTAAAAAACATTTCAAGGATACAAACTTCAGAGTACTTTTAAGAAGTTGGTTATCTTATCCCTGGACACTAAAAAATGGATTCCTTCATTTCTAGGAAACACATTTGTCAGAAGAGTTCTTCAACTTCATGATACCTTATGCTCAAGATTGTTCTTGCACAATCCCATAAGAATCCGATCTCTCACCTGAATATAACAAACAGGTGTACAGATAGTGGCAGGCAGAGACAGAGACGAGAATAAACACCTACTCCTAGACCTCTACCAAGAGATGCTCTCTGCTTAGCGTTAGAAACCCCGAGCACCAAGATCTATTTGCTGAACCCAAACATTAAAAGAAATAACCAAGCAGTTGTGTCTTTTATTGCACACAGTAAGAGCATTACCTACAAATGTCTCCCAAATAAATCATACTTAATTCAAATTATGAAGAGAATATTTGATAAATGCTGTACTTATAAGTGAATTTGAATGGCACTAGACAGCATCTTCTCGTGTCACTACTGTGCCTCTCATGTAATTTCCCCATCCAGAAATGTAATCCTCAGCCAGTTGCCTTGAAAGCTGGTTACCGTGGAGATGATTATCCGTATTATGATGACCTATTTAGAGGAATTTCTGCTTTGCCAGAAAACAAATAACCATAGAGAGAGCCTTACAAATGAATGATGCTCTTTCCCTGAAAGTGCCTTTACAAACAAATGCCATAGCTGTATTATGTGTGTGTGTGTGCACACGTGCACGTGTGGGTGTGCCTGTGTGTGTGTAGATTTGTTCATCATTAGGATTTGCAAAGATTTTTGTGAAAGGGTTTGTCCTTAAGCACTCCAAGAGTACAGAAAGCAGTGCAAACAACAGCAGGTATAAGCATATAGCCATCTGTCCTCTTCCTGCAATTTGAAATGCATGGCCATTGTTGTATTGATTTCTCAGCAGCGTGAACATAGCTTCCATTTGCACAGTTTCTTTTTCTTTCTCAGCCTCTGTTTTTTGAGGATTTTCTAGGAGTTCTGGAGTTTGGTTGACAGTTGCTTGATGAGGATTGATTTTTACAAGTCAATTGATTGGACATTAATAGTTCCTAAATAAACCGTGTCTACCTGATAGCCATTTTGATTTCCTTAGAATTATGCCACAAAGTCTATAACCTATTTTGGTTTCTCATTTTCCTGTGAAACTTGTGTTTGTGATTGTATGCAGATCTGGCTTTTTAAGTTTAAATGTTTTTCATTAATCATTGTCCTGTTCCTTATAGAAAAGATTGATGCTTCAGCTGCTGCTTTTGGTTTTTTTCCGAGAAATGTTTGGTACTACTTTAATATGCACCTGTAAAAATTCCAGTCATAAAAATTAAACCTTTATTATTATCAAAGAAGCAGGAAAAAAAAACATAAGCCAAGTACTCCCCAAAATAGGACAAACAGACCTAATTTCCTCCTTCTAATCCGACAAGTTCATATTTTAGATCATTTTTCTATTTGTTCTTCTGTTTTCAGGTACACTCCTTTTTCTACTCCCATCTCTCACCCATTGTAACTTCCTCCAAGGCAATGGCAGGGTGTCCACATTTTCTACCATCTTTTCATATTGTCTAGCAAAATGCTGGACATAGAATGAATGTTTAGTAAACCTGACTCCAAGAACTTTCAAGACCTCTTCAGTCATGCTTTCCAACTCAGTTTTCATCGGTTCAGACTCACAATGGCCTTCCAGCAAGATTATGTAGGAATTTCCTTTTTTAAAACCATATACAGTGGATGTTTTTCACAGAGCATCTTGAGTCGAGGTCAGTTAACTCATTTTGGCTCCATTTTCAATTTCTGTCCCATAGACCTATCCTTATGCCTGAAATCAGACTGCTCTGAACTGAGAGCAAATATCAAATTCATATTAGTTACCTCACTAAACTCTTTAGACTGGTCTGACTGCCGTGTTGAAAATGCCGTTGTAAGAAAATTTTCTTTCATTTGAATGAATATAACTCTCTCTCTTTCAATATTTTTGAGAGGGAAATACACTGATATTTTAATTACAAATTTCTCAGCTAAATTTTAACTGCAAAGAGTCTAGCACAACATGTCCCAGTTGATCATGTGAAATGTTGACTTCTCTCTATCTAACAGAGTTGTATAGGAATGGTTTTTTTCTAAAAAGCATTAATATTGCTTATTGCCATGTGGGCTTTGACTCATTTCTAAAAGAGGCATTTAAAAAAGCAGAGAGCTTTTCAATTTAATTCAGAGCCCATAAATGGTAGCTTCTCTTAGAACATAATGTCTGCCCTCTTACTCATTTATTCAATAAAGATATTTCTAACTCTCCCTTTAAAATGGCCTTCAGATTAAGTAACAAGTTGTGAGTTGTCTGAAGTATGTTCACATCCAGCCCTGCCTGCTAAAAGTTAACCCTTTTGAAACTAGACTTGGAATCCTAATCACCCAGCATATTTCCAACAAGATTCAAAATCAGACCTCTGACTCTGCCCAACAATTCCACTACATTAATTTACTCTGCGTTCTCTTGGATGGCTTTTCAAGGCAAATAATGAGCCTGCCTTAGAATATTTCCTCTGTGTCTAATCTTCACTCCTCGCGGTGACAGTGCTTAGCATTCAGCACAAGCAAACCTTCCCACCCCTAAGCTAAGCTGGGAAGAATGAGAACAGAATGTTCTAACCTCATCCATACCACAGCAGTTATTCAAGGAAAAAAACATATTTCATAGCCTTTTGCTAGATAAACTTGCTTTACAAATAGCTCAGTCTTCTGAAGAGTGATGTGGAATAGCTTTTCTCCGAAAAGACTCCATGGCTTTGTCCTCTCTGCTCTAAGAAAACTCATGTCCTTAACTGCCAGAGATCCAATGCTAACCATTATATTAACTTACTGCAATTATCCCCGCTGGGAATTTTTGTCAAGTTCTATTCAGCCTGGAGCAGCACCTGTTAGAGTATTTCCGCTAAGAAGCTCAGGAAAGGAGTTGCTGGGTAAATCAGCTGTTTTCACCAAGTCCATTTACCACCCTTTTGGTGGATGATAGCTCTCCTTTACGAGGATTATAAAAGGAGAAGCTGCTTTAAAATGGAGCGTCAAAGAGCTTCCATGAAGAAGTGATGTCAGAGCTGAGCTTAATTAAAGAGGTGTGGGACAGGAGCATGAAGAGGAGGCATCCAGGCAGCAGGCCCCAAGGAGGGATGGAACATAGTATTTAAGGTGCTGGGGCAGAGGCAGCACGGGAGAATATCCTGAGAGATGAAACTGGAGAGGTAAGTGTGAGCCAGCTCATTCAGGCTCTAGTAGTCTAGTTAAGAAATGTGAACATTTAAGTAACAGTATAAGTACTGCATTGAAAACAATATAAGGAGTTACATCATGTTTTAATCATCTCTCCTCATACAATATATTTAGTCTAAAATTGATAAAGTTTATGACTGTTGAATTAGGATGAATGTTCAAAGTCACGGAACTTCTGTGATCACTAATATTAGCTGTGTGATCATGGACGGGTCACTCAGGCTCAGGTTCCTCAGCTGTAAATGGAAGTGAGAACACCTCCCTCTCAGGGTGATCATGAAGAATAAGTGAGATAAACTGTAGAGAGTAAATGGTCAGTGCCTGCGAACAGCTTTTTTAAAATTGGAAAGAATATGCAGTACAGCCCTTAGATGTGGGCAAGAAGGGACCTACCTCAGAACCTAGAGTTGAGAGGGCCCCACCCTGGTCCTCCTCTACCTGTGCTTCCAGCGAACGAAGAGTCCACAGACCAACAGAACATACTTGTCTGGATTGCACCTATCTCTCCATTCTAGACCAGGCTCTGGGTACCTGAGACCCAAGGTTCCCTGTTAAAATAATCCCGAGTTGATTCACAAGGTCTTTGAAGGTTTCTTCCCCAAGCATGACCACCTGAAGGCAGGTGCGTACCCTGTGTCTGAGAGGTGGCTAAGGAGCAGCTTTTGAGCTGGTGAATGAAGTTTGTACTTGCAGCCTGAGGCAGCCGCATGTGTGTGTGAAACTTCTTACAGTGCCTGTTGAAGCTGAGATTGAGAAGAAAAGGGGGACAGGACAAGGCTGGGAGCAGACTCACCCACACTGCCAGTTTCCATTGCAGAACACTAAGGAGTCTGAGAGTTCTCAACTTAATGTGTGTTTGTCAAGATAAAATAATAGAAAATGCATATTTTAACAATTTGTGTTTTAATTTATAACTTTTAACAATTTAGACATAACGGTATACGGACTTGCATTCGTAGTCTTAACCTGTGCCCTGCAAATGTTACAGGCAGTTTTATAAAATTCTGCATATCACACAAAATCCCATTTGTTTGAACCATCTTAAGATGTATGGATCACCTATTTATGAGATCACATTAGGGTAACCATGAAATTCTATTATGCACAGGAAGACTGGAAAAGGCCAAAGGAAAAAGCAAGTTCAAATAAAGACAATCCACCCAGTGACCTCTTTCCCTCTCTAATATGCATAAACACTATCCAAATATCACTGCATTTATAGTTCATGAAATTGTACATCTATATGTGCAGGTGGAGGGAGAAGACATGAGAGCTGATGATTTTTAGAATTAACAAAAGGTTAGTTCTCTCTGTGACACTTGCTTAGACTCCCTAAATGTAGATCCTTGAATTCAAACGAAGCATTTCCAACTGAATGATGGGTGTCTGTCTGATCCGAATTCCTCTCACAGTCATTGCTGTGCAAATCACTTAGCAAGAAAATGTACACTGTCCTATGCTATCTTTCCTGCTACAAAAATATGTGGGTTGATTTAAACTTAACTTTTCAGGAATTTATGTCTTCTCTTCCCAACTGAATTGCAGCCTCTTTGAAGAACAAGCTGGGTTCTATAGCTCTCTGTGTCCCTTCTCTCTCTTCCCTGAGAGTCGCTCAATAGATATCTATACTTCACTGATTGACTCAGCCATTTAGCAAATATTCCCGGGATCCCTCCCATGTCCCGGGCTCTATGTCAAGCAAAGGAAGACAGAATTTAACAGGACACTGACTGGAAGACAAATACCTGACACATACCAGGCATCCAGTAAATGAGCAACTGCATGGCAGAGTGAATGAATGAATGAATTCTGAACCACAGAACTGAGAAATAATATCAAGAAAAAATGGAATAACCACTTATCTTAGACCAAAAGTCATCAAGGTGAAAGATGTCAGCCTGTAGAATGTCTGTGATTCAAGAAAATGGAAAATGTGGGAAAAATAAGACCAGCCCTGGCATTTGTACCCCCATCTCTGCGGCCATTAGCATGTGGCTCTGGAATCTTGCAAAGAACTAAATCGCTTCATAGAAACCAGATTTTCTATATAAAAAATTTGACTACCTCTAACACCCCAGTTCTCACTTCTCCCAGATTTAGGGATGAAGTATCTTAGGTGATGTCAATTCCAAATTAATCAGTGTATATAATAACATTATTGTGAGCTTTACCTGAGATTTGAAATACTGATCTGTGGTGATTGACTTTAATCACAAATTTGCTTCATAAAAAGCAGTAAAATCACCACAGAATTGTATTAGTCCATGTCATTTTCCTATATGCAGTATAATATTGAAGCTATAGTTCATTTTTATCTTCTCCTTACAATATTATAAGAAAACCCGATTACCAAGGTAGAAGTCGGCGTCTCCCTCAAAGCTACTTATCTTCTTGACGTGCAGAGCACCCGCTGATTCCAAACAGTGTCACAGCTTTATAAGAGAGAACCATATTTGGCCATCAATGAACCAAAATGAAATATCTCTCTGGAAGGATAAGAGAAATCAACATCCAAATAAAGAAACTTAATAACAAGCCAACTAGTGTTCAAAGTTGTTGCATTTTTTTCAAACGGACATGCATTATTCATACTGTAAAATCTCAAACCAAAGGTGGGCAGTTTGAGTTACCAACAGTATTATGAATCTTAAAATCATTCTCCCTTCTTCTAAAGGGGAAATGACAGCTGCATCGTTCATCCTCTTGTAGGTCTGCAAGCTCAACAATGTCACTTAAAGGTGACAGCAGGAGGGGGGACAGCAAGGGGAAAGAAGCCTTCCTGAGAACATTAATGGATTTTCTCTTTCAAGCAGAGAAAGAAGCACTGAGACATTTCCAGCCAAGCAAGCTTAGGGCCATTCCCTCACTCCCTAAGACATCTACCCAGCCCCTTGACAAGTTCTCGAAACACCTCAAAATGAGGACATGGAGAGACATTCCTCCACTCCATCTGGAAACATTTCCAAATCTCTCCCTCAGTTATCCTAAGACAGTCTCGGTCCATAAACTTTCTAATGCTTAGACGGCAGAATGTTTAGAAGACACATAGGCATTTTCAAGCAAGCACATACAAGGAAAAGGGAGTTAATGAGAGTAAAACTGAGTCTGGCCAAACCATTCCAAGAACTGGATGAGTCTAAGGTTAGCCCACTGAAGAGCCCTAACTGTGTTTAGTCACGTTCTGTGTCAGAGCCCTCGGTTCTCTCGTTGCTTTCACTTCGTACTCATGTTGACTGGCCTGGAAACTATCTCTATGCGGATATGGAGTGGCATCCATTTGTCATCTTACACATGCTTTAAAATCCTAGCCATGTTACCAAGTACCACTGTCACCAATGTTGTTGCACCAAGTTGAAATGTCTAATATTATTGTAGAAAAAGCAGCATCTTCCCAGTGACCTTTCATCTGGCCTCAATAAGAGTCGAAGCCCAAACCTCCAGGAAAAAGGAGTCAAGTCAAATTTGCCTTCTGCAGTTTTATTGCCTTACTGAATCCTTGGACTGTTCTGTTTTTGTTTTTGTTAATCAGTTTGTACAAACAGTTTATACTCGCTCATTCCCCCAACTTTGTAGTCATCCAGAAAGAATCAAACATAAGTACCACCGCTCCTACTCCCGTGTGTGGGCCCTTCCTGAAGGATTTTCAAAAGCACAGAAAAAGATGGTTACATTATAAATGAAGAACTTCACCTTGAAAATGGAGCAGAGAAGATTCAAATTTTGCAAATACATGAACTCCTTCCTCTCCTAAGCGTGGAGCTCAAACCCTCCCACTGCCCTGTGACGTGCTCACCGACACGCAGCATCCGTAAGAGCTTCCTCTGCTGTGCCCTCTTGTTCAGTTTTTGTACACGCATTCCCACACTTAATCAGGAGGCTGGCAGCCACGCACAGCCCATCTGGCAATGTTAGAAATGATTGCTGGAATTCAGTGGCTTTCTCCACCACAACGAAAAATACTTTCCGTTTAATTCATAAGAATAGCATTTAATAACATAAATACAATAATAACATTTATGCTTTTGTCTCTTCAGAGCACTCTGCCACCATTAATGAACTAAATTAGCCTTTGCTATTTTATAATCTGTCTCATTAAAATGAGGTTGGTTTTCTCTGTGGCAGTCATTTACGTAATGTTGTTTTCTTCTAGCAAACACTGCACTTAACTAATGTAAATTCATTTTTAAATTGTGTGCTCACATAGAAAATTTTCCCAGAATATATTTTTAATTCTGCCTCCTTACTACATCATTATAGGGAGCATTTTAAACTAGAAAGACACATAAGCCCTTCAATGTAGTCTTCTCTAAGTACTTGTAAATTATTTATAAAGACCCCCTCAAGGAAATGTGTTGTAAGTGCCAGTGATGGAAATGAAAATTGTTTGCTCTGTGAGCCCTATTACTATTTAATTATTTGTATACTGGTAAATGATTGGCTTACTGATGAAATAGGCTTACTCAGTAAGTGCACACAAAAAAAGCTGCAGCTGGCAAAGGAACTCTGAATCCTAAACCCGCCCTTTTTAACTCAGTGCTCTCTGCTACTGCTGGCCCACTTTATACGAGAGCTTGATGGCTCATTCCTAGGAAGTTGATTTCAAGTGGGAAGAAACTATCTCTCTGCAAATATGTGTATGACACTTCCAAGTTTAGACAGAAATGGGATCCTAGCGTCCCTCAGTTGAGAAACTCTACAAACATTGCTTAGTTTCCTCCCAAGTTCTGATCCCTCTCCTTTGGTAAGAGTCTTCTAATTCCTGTTTGAGAAACGACCATATTCTTCTACTCTTGGCCTTGTGCTTAGAATGCAGTTGATCCTACCTCCAATCCCAAAGGTAGGACCCCTGGCCCTCCTGATTGCTCTGGGGATAGACATATGACCCAGGACTAAGCCAACGTAGGGAATCCCATCCTCTTCACCACAGGGATTAACATAAAGTAGACCTCTCATCTATGTTTGTCCAATCAGA